ATCTGAAGGTGAAAAATCTTTCAATAAGTTAACTATCATTAAAAATTAACTTCATTCAACAATGGACCAGAAGCGATTGTGCTACTTGATGATCCTTTCAATTAAATCAGATTTAGTCAATAACGTTTCTTATCAAGTAGTTATTTTTGCCGATAAGAAGGCCAGAAAAATGCGTTCGATATTAACACTTGCTTTTACCATAGTTTGTTTTTATTTTAACTAAAATTTACTAAATGTGATTTCAGATTTTCTATGCAAGTAAACAAATACTAACTTTACTAATTTATTTTGTATTTGTCATTTTAAGACCTGAAGTAAGATAGGGCAACCATTGAACTTTTAGACCCGGGCATCACAAAACCTCTGGGCGGACCTATATATATATATATATATATATATATATATATATATATATATATATATATATATATATACAAAATGAAATTTCTTAGAGATTATAGTTAAGCACCAAGAAAGACATTTAATTACTAGTCCAGAAGGAAATATTGTTACAACAGAGCTTATCGGCACGAGTTCCCTGCTAACCGAAGTACTACTCATACGCTAAGTAGACGGAGCTGGATTTGAACATTCAATCCTGCTGCTACGGCCAATATTTATTCCGAACTTGTTATATATATATATATATATATATATATATATATATATATACATATATATATATATATATATATATATATATATATATATATATATATATATATATATATATATATATATATATATATACATATATATATATATATACATATATTTAAACATATATATATATATATATATATATACTTTTATATATATATATATATATATATATATATATATATATATATATATATATATAAATATATATATATATATATATATATATATATATATATATATATATATATATATATATATATATATATATATATATATATATATATACATATAGACTTACATTTATATATATATATATATATATATATATATATATATATATATATATATATATATATATATATATATATACATATTTATACACTAATAGTGCTTAATTTACGGGTACTTTTTATTTTTTTCCTCATAATATTAATTTTTATTTTTCTATTTTTACTATATTTTTCAAATATGCTATTTTTTTTATATTTTTATTTGTCAAATTTTATTAAATGATTTTTAAATTTGTTATTTTAGTAAAACATTTATTTTTTATACATATTTTTATTATTTTTATTTAATTATTATCAATTATATTTTATATTTTTGTATATATACTTACAAAAACGATTATTTACATTATTATAACCATATATATTACCCCTAACCCTAACCCTAAGCCTGACCGTGCTACCTAGGTCTTGGTCCTATATCAAGACAAGATTATCGATATACTATTTGCCTTTCAACATGTTGCCTTAAAACTTTTAGTTTTTGCCTTCCATCATTTTTATTGAATTCAAAACATTTCTTTGAATATAATTTCATATCTTTATTCATTGAGTAAAAAACTTGTGGTAATTTCATGCAACCATAGAAATTCCGATCCCACTCGTGTGGGATCAATCATGAGTAGACCAGATGGTGGGCATTTATTTAAAAAGAATAATTTGACTATCACAAATTTCAAGTTATTTTTAACGATATTTAAAATTTGTATAAATAGAATAGAAGTTTAATTATTAGTGTATTATTAATTTAAAAAGAAGTTATATATGTGTGTTTAAAAACTTAATCTTAAAATATAACATTACAAAGACAGTATTATTCTTATTAAGATCAGTTTTAATTTGAATTAACAAGAAGTATAATTTAAGGTAACATTTAACTTGCGTTAAGAAAGTTTAATTTTCATTGTTTAATAGTTTTTATTTAATTATATTCTTTGCAAGCATTGCTATTAATGCATTTTTAATAAACTTATAGTAATTTTATTTATAAAATTCAACTTTGAACTAATAAGCAGAGTTGTTTATCATTGGCCTTGCCAACAGTGATAATAATAATAAAAATAATCATTATTATTATTATAATAATTATAATAATAGAATAATAATAGTAATAATAATCATAAAAATAACAACAATAACAAGTTTTAATATTATTATCATTATTATCATCATTGTTATAATTATTTATATTAATATTGTTAATAATATTATTATTGGTATATATTGTTATATATGATCTTTGTCATATATTTTATTTAAATGTCATATATATTTTATTATATTAGCTTTGTCTTATCTTGTTATTTTAATTTGTGAACATTACCATTAGTATTTTCCCCATAAATATTCTGTATTTACTTAATATTAGTTAATTTACTGTTTGTGAATAATTGTGAAAGTAAGACCATTATTCAGAATATATATTATTGATCGACTGTATTGATATGACTGTACCTTATATCTTTGCCACAATGTACTACAATTATTGACATTTAAAAATAAAAATAAACAAAAGTGTTAAAAGATCAAAGTTATTAAATAACATAACTATCACATTGCATGGAAAAGTAAAAAAAAGTAAAAGTAGCATCTGAAAGTTTCTGTTCTCTTGGCTACCAGTTTTTGGCAATTTATTAAATTATTTAGTAAGCCCATAACATTATTAAATTATTTTAAGCCCATAACAATTATAGCAATTATGAAGTTTAACCTTTAATTTTATTATTAACTATTTCTCTTCTTTTTGTTGTTGTTGTTATTGTTGCAAGATTCAATGTACTTATCCTTTTTAGTAGGTAAAACTTTAATTTTACACAATGTCTCAGCATTCAGAAAAAGAGTGTATTGACGCTAGCACAACAAATATTGGTCTTTGCACATCTTCTTTAAACAAATTTGTATGGAATATGGCTAACACAAGAGTATTATTAGATTTATAGAAAGATAATTACAAAGCATTAACATCTGCAAGAAGAAACACAAATATTTACAAACAAATGGCAGGTGAATTTTCAAACACATTTAATATCGTACCTCCGTTAACTGGATATCAAATTCAATCTAAAATTAGTAACTTGAGGAAACAATTTAGGTGTGTACATATTCTACATTTAATGTTTGATACCTCACTGAAATACAGAAAGTATTTTACAAAACTAACCATGTGTAATAATATCTAATTGCAATTTAGTTTGTAACTGAGTGTTATATTAAAAATTACTTAAATCTTGTTTAGTATTGAAGATTTACAGCTCGTTGATAATTATTTTGTTGATAATTCATTATTTTATTATTCGTTAATAATTTGTTAATTTTGTTATTAATTATTTCGTTAATAATAATTTGTCCATTTAAAGTTATTTGATTAATGTTATATGGTGTTAATGATGTGCTTATATTTACTTATATTTATGTATATTTTTCATAGACGAGAAAAACTTCAAGTTGGTTCATCGGGACGAGCTCCTAGTAAATGGTGGCCTTACGATATTGTTGCCAAAATAATAGGTGGTGAAGCTTCCCTTGACAATGACCTTTTATCTCAAAGTCAAAACTTTTCTACTCAAGATTTTTAAGATGGTCAGGTAAGTTTAGTATAATTTATTGATGTATTTTTTAAAGTGCTATATATTTTTTAAAGTAATAAAAACAAGCATGTTAACTATTTCTACAATATAAGGTTTAAGAGGTTCTTAGTTTTGCAACATTTGGCAGACTTAAAACATAAAGATCAAAAACATATAATATAAAGTTTTTGAATTATAAAAGGGATATTTTAATATTGGCTAGATTAATTTGTAAAATGCTATTGACTAAATAGATCCTTTTTGTTCAGGGAAGGAAGGGAGTAAAATGACTTCAAGTCAAGTCTTTCAAAGTCAAGAGATAAATTTTGATTGAAACATGATTTATAATCATTTCTCAAGTGTGTAATTTTTTTAATGTGTATATTTTATTTACAGATTGCCACAGTGGAAGATGGCAAGGTATTTTAAATATTGACGCTTTGGATGATACAAGTGATGTGCAATCAATTGTCACTATTCCTGATGAGGAACCAACTCAATCTACATCCGGCTGCAATAAACGGAGGAACTCTGATGATGAAAAAACTTTGAATAAAATAGCAAAAACTGAACCGGTGAGAAAAATAAAAAAACAAATTTTTCTTCTAAATATTTAAAAAAAGCAAATAAAAATCTAGATGTTCAAACCCGTTCACAAGAACTACGAATCAGAGAGGTTGTTGCTTTAGAGCGTATTTGCGATGCAATTGAAAATGTATCTAAAGCCCAAGTAGATGTGTCTAAAGCCCAAGTAGAATATTATAAATTTTTAATAAAAAAATAAGGTGTTCTATTAGTCAAGATATCTTTTTAGTAATTATGTTAAAGTTGAAAGGTCAGTATTTTTTCAACAGTATACCTTGTTTACAATTCTATGCAATATATATTTCATAAGGTTTTTCAATGTTTTAACTAAAGAGATGGTTAGTGAAATATTGTACAAGCTTGTAGATGAAGCTTTATTTATATATATTTTTTGATGTTACCATATTACTATTATCAAAGGAATTTTTACTTTATATAAAATAAAAATATTTTGTGATTTCAAGCATTAAAATGCATATCTGGTGGTATTTTTTAAATTTGTCATGTTATTTTATAAATACCTTTTTTTGTATCTCTATGCTATTATATATTTAGTATTTTTACCAAATAATTTTTTTTGCGATATGAAGCAAGCCTGTAGATGAATTACAGTGATATGTTTTTTCCCAACGTGTATTGTTTTTAATTTATACAAATTGCATTACATGTTTCATTTTTGTTTTTGTAAACAGATCATGCTGTATCAATTCTAACAAAATGGTTTTTAAAAATGTGTTTTAATTTCCCTTGAATTGTAGTATAATAAGTATTATATTTATTTAATATATTTGTATAGTTTTAATAGCTTTTTAGGGAGACATCTGTAAAGGAAAAAGCTATTGGAAAAACATGGAAAGCGTTTTGGCCGTACTTCGATCAAGAAATAGAACATTAATCAATGTTAAATCAACAAGGGTATCTGATTGAAAGAAAAGTTTGGGTTAGGCCGAAAAGTTCTCAATGGCTTAATGAGATTTTTACTCAAATGGAGGAATGTGAATTTAAAGAGCATTTTCGAGTAAATCGTAACACATTTAATTTGGCATAGGAAAGTCAACAGCAAATTTAATTGTTCATGAATTTATTAATGCTGTGTATGACATTTTGCTCCCTAAATATGTTAAATTTCCATTGTCAGTGGAAAATTTAAATAAACGTAGTAAAGATTTCGAGCCTATTCTTGGTTTTCCACAATGCATTGGAGCTGTTGATGGACGCCTCATCCCTATTTCAGCCCCTAGAGATCAAGCAATTTCTTATTATAATTATAAAGGGTGGTATTCCATTGTACTTTTTGCCGTTGTAGACTGTCGATACCGTTTCACTTATATAAGTGTTGGATCGCCTGGTAGAAATAATGACAGCTATATTTTGCAGAATTCTTCTTTGAAAGCAACTTTAGAATCACATCTATTTGAAGAATGTTGTAAAGAGCTGGGCGATTCTTTTGTTCCGCTATGTTTGATAGGTGATTCAGCATTTCCTTTAACGCGTCATTTGTTAAAACCTTATCATCAAAATTTGGAGCTAAGTGAAATTTAAAATAATTTCAATAAAATACTTTGCGGAGTTAGAAGAGTAGTTGAGAATGCTTTTGGGCGCGTTAAAACTCGATTCCGTGTAATTTGCAAACGTATGAAATGCGATATTAACTTTGCTACAAGAATTGTAATAAGAATTGTAAAATGCTTGCGTCACTCTTCACAACATTTGTAAATATTATGACGATATTATTATAATAGAATGGCTTATGCAACATCATTATGACAGTCTAACTCAACCCAATACAGTTTCTACAACTGGGATATATGTCATATTTATATGTATATGTATATATATATATATATATATTCTACAACTGGGAACAATGGACCAGAAAAAAATGACTCAATTGCTAAATACTTTTATGAAAGGGACAAGTAAAGTAGTAATAATATTATTTATTATTTAAAGCTTTAGCTG